CATGTCCCTCACTTAGACCGTAACACCGGGAAGGTTGCATCCGTAACCGGAGGATAAAAATACAACTTAATTGAAGTTGTTTGTTCTTTTAGAAAGAGGAGTTTTCCTTCTGATCACAGTGATGACGTGGAAAAATAGCCAAACAGTGGTGGTCTTGATGGGTCTTGATTGAAAATCCAGAGTCCACCCAGTCCCAGACAGAGACAAGACCAAGTAAAAATGCTTTCGACTCTGTGATGAGACAGAGACCTTCAAATGTGGTCTTGACACCAAGGCCTGTTCAGGGCTGAAAACCTGCCAGGATAGTTGACGTGTTGCCAGCAGCTAGATTCCTCAGAAACAGAAGCAGAAACCCTGACACAGAAATGGAAGATCACAGTTTGTTTTGTTTCAGTGGATTTTATTTAAAGTTGAAGTAACCTGATGAACTACAGGAACCTGTTGAACGCTTCCACACCCAGACATTGTTAAAACATCTTAAAAGTAGTAAAGGAAAACAAAAGGATAAGGCTGCTGATGTTGCATTTTTCTTCTTATTAAGAACAAAACCCATGAGAAGAAAACAACCGACCACACAGGAAGTGTTTCCTACCAAACAGGGACGGCTGACATCGTTTTACTGACGCCTCTGTTTTCTCTAGAAATGATCAACTAGCAATCCAAATGTTGGACTGGGGGAAAAATCTGCTCCCAACGATGAACTTGGGCACTGATATCTGATGCCAAAAACAGAATCCTGCGTCCAAATAAATCCCAATGTTTGTATTCATCCACGGCTGGAAATAGTCCCCAACAGATGTAGCACTACCCCTTCTTGGATTCAATAACATATATGAGATCTATTATTATTCTGAAAGGTTAAAGACCCGTTAATCCAGTGTCTGTTGTAGACACAGATGGTGTAAAAAGAAATGGAGGAACACATGGTTGGTTTTGGTTTCTTTTCATGGGTTTTGACGCCTTATCTTCTCAAAGCAGCAAGTTGCTTCTTCAGAAAGCTGCAGATAAAGACGAGTCCTTTATTGGCTGACAGAGTTCAACTCAGTGGCGGCGAGGTACATCAGTCCATTAGCGTGACGGCAGCAAACATCAGCTGCCATGACGCAGAAAAGACGGAGAGCTGGGAGGCCACAGATTGATGAATCATCTTTATTTGTTTGGTCTAAAGTCTGGGTTTAAATCAGAGCTGTCAGCATTAATTAGTTAATCACATTAATCTCATGCTCTTTTGTCTCTTCAGGCTCACCGTAGAAAGTCGTCCTCAGCGTCTCCCTGTAGTCTCAGTGATGTAAAAGAAGAACACTGCTGCATCTTTGAATGTCTCATTTCACTTTAACAAACTCTCAGACAGCTCAGCTGACGAGTCCAGAGTAATATCCACCTTATGACATCACACATTGACCTTTGTTGCCGTTCCTTTGAGCTGTTTGACCTCACTTTGGGATCCCTAACCACTGTACTTAACTTCATGTCCTAACCTTCATCTACAGGAAGGACCTTACTTTATTTCAAAATAAAAGCACACAGGAAGTAGTACTCTCAGCTTCAGACAGGACAAACATTCAAATAAAAGCCTGACTAATTTTATTTTGAAATGTGAAATAATGGAATTTCAAACATGTGATTAAAAAGTAATTAATCATGATTAACTATTGACATTTAGTGATTAATGGTTTGACAGCCTTAATTTAATAACTCCTTTTAGGTCGGAATGTTGTTTAAATTGTTTTGGGCAAAGACTCGATTTGTTTGGGATATGATGACTCTACTTTGTCTCTGTCTTCTGTTTGGGCGTGTGCGGCACAGAGCAGATCAATTCCTCTGATTAGGTAATTGATTACTTCAAAGACAGGATTGGACAGGATTTGTGACACACATTGGTTCTTCTCTCAGACAGACTCTGTGTGGGCTTTCATGTCTCCGCTTTGATCCAACCATGAATCACTAATGCATCTTGTAATAGTAGGAGCATCATCCACAGAGCCTTCTTCTTCTTCTCTGCTTCATAAACATGCTGCAATAATAAAAAGGAGAAGAAATAAAACCACAACAAATAAATAAAATAAATCCGGTCAATGAAATCATGAAGCAAAGAAAATGTCTGAACAGCTGCTCTCCTCTTTGTTCACTCTTCCTTTGATTCAGCAGGCATGCGGTGATGTCAGATAAGATATTATAAACAAATATATACACTTGGTAATATAGCTGTCTAAAACCATTCTTTTCATAGATGTAGATTTACTGTAAACATGCACTCTTTCACCGCTGAGTTCTCTTTGCACCCAGGCTCCCATGTGGTCGACTACAAATCGATGAGGTCGTGATGCACTGAGTGCTTTTATTTTGTGATGTTGTGGCGAGGATATGTATCTTTAATGACCCTCAGTAAACATAAACCACCAAGATCGATGACAATCTGCGTTCTCCAAGAACAGAAAACTCTGATCGTTGAGTGAGTGCAGTACAGTGAGCGCCCTGCCCCATTTGGAGCGTGAGCACAGCCATGAGCAGCTGCAGCCCTCGGGATCACTACAAGATCACACGGATTAATTTGTTGTTCATTCGGTGCCTGTTTTTACAATCAGGAATTTGTTTATTCAGTTTTATTTTGAAATTGACAGGATGCTCTGTGCGTTTCTTAGGCTGACTTTCTGTCCGGCTCCATCTATTCTGTTCAGCTTGACGCGTGCTTGCAGCGAGCTTTGTTTAAAATAGACTCGGTGTGTGTTTAGATTGGAGCGGAGTGACGCTGCTGGCATGCTCCAAATAAGGACCGCGACATGCGACTAGCTAGGGAGCGATCTGCTCCGTAATGCACAGAGCTGACGGCACGCTGTTAGTCGTCGTTTTACGGTAAAGCATTGTTTTTATTTTATTTCTAGTTAAAGTAAAGGCTTCTTACGTTTTAGTTTTTGTTAACGATAATAACCTCAGTTGGAAGTAGTCTCAAACTTCTTGAAAATTATGATTGACAATGTTAACAATTATCTTTTTAAAAAAAAAACAAGGCTACCAAAACAAACGGTTACTCAGGTTTCTGATAACGTCATTGTTCTGTGTGTTCAGCTCAACATTGCACAACTAAGTCTGGACCAGCGAAGGTTCATGACGTCACTCAATGTTATTTTGTTAAGTAGAGTGCAACGGATTCGTAAATAACACATGATTGCATCGCCACTGCTCTAACCTGCTTCCAAGTCACCCAGTGGCCATTTGTGGTATTGCAGAAAAAAAATCCCTGAAGATCTAACAGTATCTCCTTTCCATTGGACCAACGTTACTGTGGATCTCTGTTAATTATGCATAAATATTTAAGAGTTGCCACTGGACCACTTCACCTTGACTAAAGTTTTCGAGCACATGCACCAGGCAAGCGTTCTTATTGGACTGAAGAGATGTCGATGGCCAATTGTGCGCCGAAGTTGGAGTGAAAAAAATTTCTTCTTATAGCTTCTTATAGCTTTCTTCTTAAAATTTCTTCTTATAGCTATAAGAAGCTGTAAGAAGCTTCTTATAGCTTCTTACAGCTACGATCATTCTCAGTTTTTGCAGTGCATACAGAAGAATTAAGAGTTTGCCCCCCAACTTTTCTGGACTATAAAGAACTTCCTGTGGTCCGAAAACAAAAAAATGACACGAGAGTAACCCGAACGATTTCCACGTTAATGTTGAGTCTGAATGTAGGAACTCAAAATGAGTGTTTGAGGCTTTACTGGACATCTTTTGTGTTTCCATGGAGCCTGGGTACAGGAGTAATGACTATTTTAGGGTATTTTAAAGGGAACCAGAGTCTAAAGGCAGACCCTAAAGTGGAGCTCAGTTTGAACCCTCAGAGCGTCTCACCAGTCTCCCTCTGACATGCACTTTATGTCAGCGGGGTGTAAGACACGTTTTCCACAAATGTCCAACTCAGATCACATGTGAGTTTTAACATTCACTCGTTTACATTTACAAGATATCAGTGTGAGATGACATCACCAGCTGTTTTCTGAAGAATGAAGTGTGACAAAATAATCTTTCTACCGTTACAACCTTCTCTGAAGTCAGGCTGAGTCTTATCATTACAAAACAAACTGTCTCTTTATGATCTGAAACCTTGAGTTTGAACACCCAGCATTGTAACACTATACGAGAGTTTTAAAATATGGACCAGCATCACAAGTCTACTTCAAGTTCTGGTTAGCAAACATTAGCATTTTAACACAGTCAACTATGAAGAAAAACTTTACTGCATGTCATGAAATTGGTATAAAAATATATCCATTGTAAATGTGAGCATGTTAGCATGTAGCTTTACTAGATTTTACGTGCTAATTGTCAAATGTTAGCATGCTAACACTAAAAACTTATAGATGGAAAATATAGTTTATAATGTCTTAGCTTAACATCTCTGTATTATCATTGTAAGCATCTTAGCATGCTAACATTAACATATCTCAATAATCATTGGAACGCCCAGTAGACTATCTCTCTCGTTATTTGACATAAAGCTCGATATTATTAGCTTAAATCTTGGTATAGCCTCACCTCCCACTCTCAAAGCACTCAAGCAAACCACACTCAGCGGCGAGGACCTCTGGCAGGCCCTAAAATGGCTGGTAGGTGCATATTATCATCATCGTGTCAACGTTTTGTTTTTTTGTTGCATGTTTTTGTCATGTAAAAATGATCTGAATCAGACAAAGTGGAAAACTGTCTCCAGAAAGAGACTGTAGCAGCTCTGCATGGCGACTAACACTGATCTGAACCCCTCTAAGCTAAGATTTACATTTGAATAACAATGATATATTAAATCACATTCGTGTGTACAGTATATGTGAGCTACACCTACTCTCCAAATATATACTCTTTCTGCACATACTGTGTAATATATTTTAGCCATACTTTGGGGACAGTGATATGGATACATTCTTTATAAAACACTGATCTAAGCTCCCCGGTCCACAGTTTCTGAGTCACAACATCCTTTTTTTTCCATCTTGGTAAAAACACAATTCCTCCTCTATTTCCAGCCCGTCTTTATTTGGCTCGGTTAAACAAACCATGAATGCGTTAAAGCCACCCAGCAGTGCTGTGCAGGCAGGGCAGGCTGTGGGATTTGCACTGTGACAGCAAACTTGACATTGTGAGCTGATGTTTGACACGGTAATTAGGCGTAGGGTTTCACTGGAGCAGAGATACACCATCCCTGAAATAGAGGGATAAATTTAGGCCCCCCCCTCCCCTGGTCAATCCTGTGGTAAATAAACCCCCAGGGGCATGATGATATACCCTTGAGGGGATTTATTTCAATCCTTGACCCAGTAGAAGCATCCGTTGGCACACAGTTCACTGGAGCTGTTGTAGATTCAATTTGAATGGTAGTGTTAAGCTTAACTCGGACCAGAAGCGAGGCTAGATTTCCCACTGCGTTACCCTTACATATTTATTAAACAAAGATAAAACCTGCTAACATAGCCCTTGTGTCTGGGGTCATCAGGATCCGCACAAAGCTTGTTTAAATTCTACCCCTTCTCCAGAGCCAGCTTGGTGACTGTTAGTTCGGGCAGGCTTGGCTAAGTACAAGAATTTCTTTACAACTTTTAGCTTTTTGTTACCTCATGTGTTTGCTCTAACCGTTAGCGAGCAGGACAAGACAAACTAACAACCTCTGAACTTTGATTTTCAATGGAGTTTGGATCCATCTCTGTTGGAAGTTTGGAACATTTGGAGAACATCGACCCTGAAATGCTCTTCTGATGCAGCATCAGCACCATCTCGCTTGAGTTTAAAAATAAATTCAACTCATACAAGCCCAACGAAAAGGCCTATAACAGAATTTAGAATCTCTTCACATTTTGTGTTGACTTTAACAGGTTCGGTTTGATTGGTACAAGAATGTCTTGCGACTCACATAATATGTGACCTTTAAATCAACGTTTATGACAAATAGACACCAGCTTTCAGGGCTTTGTTTTAGTCTTGTAGTGCCTTACAGTTTTGCATTGTTGCATTTAAAAGATAAACCAACCCCCATCAGAAACTTAGATTTTTTGGGGAGGGGTTTGGACTGTCCATTTTTGATGCAGGTTGGGATATCAACTATGATACATGCACTCATTTAACTGGTCCAAACAAGCGAATGACGGGAGTTTATATCTCTAAACTTTCTTGCGTCGACTTTGATCGCCATGCATGGAAAACTTGCTTTGCTTCTGGTCTGAAACATTCTAGACCCTTTACTAAACATTTTGAGTCCATGTTCAGAGGAGGAATGAGTTGTTGAAGAAGGGAAAAAAAGATGAACTACACATGTTTCCAATCTATTCTTTCAAGCTAGACTGTTGTGGTGGTAACTGCACTTGTGGACCAGACACTTCCTCCGCCTGCTGATCCGGTCTGTACAGGATCCACTTTTATAGGCCAGTGATGCTAAGGGGCTAACCTCCCTGCATGTTCCAACGATTCCAGGCCACTGTTACGCCCCACTGCCGTCAACCCACAAACAAAGTAACTCAATAATTGATTACACTCTTTCCTCCACTCTCATTCTCGGCCGTACCGTGCTCTAAGTCTTCGGGGAGAACTGCAGCGAGTGCTCTTACAAGCAACCACTGATCCATTATTCATACAGGTGTTTTAAAGAGGAGGTGGATCTTACTTTATTTACTCTCTGTAGTCTTGTAAACAACCATGACTACTGCCACACCACACCACTGTTCTATTTTCCACCATAGTGTGTTGGAGCTTTTCCTCATTCTTCATTCAACCTACTTGTTTAACCCCCCCCCCACCATGACTTCCTCCACTTCATTCACGGGGCTGTGAGGGAATCCCAGCAGCCCAAGTTGGATTACGCGGGCAGTGCAGTACTGGCCTATGGCTGAGTAGTTTGGACATGGTGCGGCTTGGCGTTACAAGTGGCTGAGACTGAATCCATGGCTGGGCATTGTATGGAGACGAGACTAGAGGAGACTAGAGGATGATGGTTACACAGGGAACGATGGTACTGTAGGTTTAGAGTCCTGTCACTTTGGGCGCCGTCCTTTGAGAATAAATAGTCTGTAGGCGTCCTGATTGAAGGAACGTTCCACTTGTGATCCCGTTGTTTAACTTCCCACTTTCCATCTCCATTCAGGGAACCGTGTACCAGTCGTCCGATGGAGCTGCCTATACAGTTGGTGGCATTTAAATGTGCATGAATATGAACTGTTCATGTTTGGTTTTGCGTATGTATACTCGTGTCCTAGTCGCGGCTCCGGTTGCGTCTCTTGAAGAAAAAGAACGGCGTCTTCTGGGGTGGGCCAAGCAAAATAGGGACCTGGTTCTTGTGTGTGATCCTGATCTGCAAGAGTCAAAAAAAGAAGGACATGGTTAAGGTTGAACTCTAAACAGGAAGCTGCTCTCAATGTCTATTCAACACAATCACCATTAGAATCAGAATCGGTTTTTTTTATTACTTTTACACATTAATGGAGTTTGACTTGATGTTTTTGTGCAGAAAAAATTAGCAAAGAGAGAGAGCAAACGGGTAAAAAGCTATAAAAAAAAAGCAGTGGTCCTGCATCACTTCCTGTCTCTTCACAAATAACATTTCAGTTACACCATGAATTACCAGAGGGTTATTAAAGAAGATGGATCCCCCATCCACAAAACTTCTAACTTTATGCAACGTTTATGAGATCAGATCACCATCCAGCACTACACGCTAAAGTAAAGCTAATAAATTTTAACTGAGTGATTTCAGATGAGTGGTAAGTTATTTGATGAAACATCGAGTTGGTTGAGTATTAAAGATCACACAAGTGTAAATAAGTCTCAGAGCTCCTTAAAACATGTGTGTGAAGTTTCTTGTTCTAAATCTGATCCTGTATTTGATCATGTCTATAAACCCGTCATAACATTTTGTTTATCTTTATTTGGTTCTTGATTTCTGACCTCTGTTTGTATTTCTATTTCAAAAGGCAGCTTTAAATAACAGAATAGTTTGTTTTCATACATTAGCAATGTTATGAAATGAATGAATACACCTTATTCATGATTATCATGAAATCAACATTTTTTCATAAAATTTTTAAGTGGTTGCTTCCGTATTCACAACAGATTGTTACCAAATCCCTCGCTGGGTCCTTGAGAGTAACCCACATAACTCAACAAAAAGCTTCGCCTCATGAATGAAGGTCCACTGTGAACAAATCGGTTGAAACGCTGTGAGGATGAATAGATAGTGTCTGATTTCTCTTCTTTTAAAGGAATACAGCCGGTTTGAGAAATTTGATGGCATGGCAGTGATGGCGTTGGAGGCTGAGGCCGTTGGTGTGCGAAGGTGGGCGATGAATAAAAGCAGGCAAATGAGTCGGTTTAGGACAAAAGCAACAAGAAACAGGAATCTTAGTCCGACATACAGCTGACGTCATCACCTGTGAAGGACATGTGGCTGTCTGCTGGTAAACCAGGTTACAGGACTGCTGTGTTGTAAGCGTCCTGGTTTTAGATTTTAGGTCCAGGAAGTACTGACCCATCGAGTTTGAGCAGGCACAGTTTTTATTTAGGAAATCAGTACTTTTGGGGGGTTAAAGGGACACTACGTATTGGCTGAAATACAGTCCCATAACCTCCCCAGCTATCATCTGATGAATAATCAAGTTTGTCTTAATCTCAGTCTGTAAATATCTGAGTGCAAATAACTCTCAAATACAAGTTATCGTTTCTCGACACAACTCTTTTCTTGCTTCTCAAGTTGCTAACTCGACTAAAAAGTGGACGAATCTGGCCAAAATATCAGATATGTTATCTAGAACATCTCATCTCATCTCATCTCATAGAAATCCCTGGGCTACACTGGAAGCCCTGCAAGATTTGTCTACACCCGAAAAGCCTCAATGGTCGTCAGCCAACATCCGATGGGTTTTAAGATTGAGGAGACAAGCACAGTGTCACAATGTCGAACTCGGTTGTTCATACAGGTGATGTGGACCGAGTCAATATGGTTTCAATTCAACTGTCAAGTCAGGTAAAGCGTCATCCTGTCTAAAGTGGTGACAACATGCCCCAACATGCCCTGATCAACACAAGACATCTATCTGCCCAGGGCTTGTGTCTTTGTTGGCGACCCTATTACTCACAACATCCACACAGTCCGTGCACAATGTGTTCCGTCAGTGCCACGGATTTGCTCTAACTATCAGCGCAGTACCCAACTGGGTCCGTTTCTGGAGCGTGAGCGCAGCCATGAGCAGCATCACAGGAGAACTACAAGATCACAGGAGAATTACAAGATCACAGGAGAACTACAAGTGCAAACAACATGTAACTTTGTCTTTTCTGAGGATGATTTGTTGTTCATCTGGTGCCTGTTCTGATGTCATGTTGATAAAGTGATGGGTCATACGATCAGGAGTCTGTATGTTGTGTTTTATTTTAAAATAGGCCAGAACCTCTCTACCTTTCCTTGCCTGACTTCCTGTCCAGGTCGTTCTACTCTGTTCAGGAAGCTTCTTGGAAGTGTGTTGCAACGACCGCATTTTCCTCTGGGATTAATAAAGTAGTTCTGATTCTAATTTTCAAGCTTGCAGAGTCGAGGGGCGCCGTTCACACAGTTCGTACATGGTCAGCGTAACATGCTGTGGAAACATAACCATGAAATAAAGCGGGAGCGAACAGCACCGTCGTGCACAGCGTTGATGGAATGCATCGTGAGTGAATGATGTGGAAATTGCGGGTTAGCCATCCATCCTACTCCTAAGGATATAGAGCTTTGAATATCTCTACCTTGACACCCTTTGGATGTGAGTTCCTTCTCTCGGTTCCCCTCACGTGCGTCACGCAGTGAGCTTAAACAATAACGTGTTTCTTTTTTATTTTGAGGATTTCAGGATGTAAGAGTACTATTCCTAGTTTCCCTTCGGCTGGCTACACAGACAATTTTAGACCAGATTTGGAGCCTGATTTTAAAAAATTATCCTGAACTTTCCCAGTAAGTGGAAAGATCTCATAAACATTCAATCCAGTAAAGAAAAGAAAAAAAATGTTGATTGAATTTCTGTATGCATGGATGAATTTTCTGTTTCATTTCGGACGGTGAAAAGAGGCCTTGAAGGGTTACTTTAACTGTACAGGCGATGTGCCTGCAGTTTATCACCGTCATGTTCTGTCCTTGACAGAGATGAAACCTTTATGCTCGGTTATACAAGACAGAAAAGCCAACAAAAAGGAGTCTGTTGGACAAAAAGCACTGCACTGTGTTTATGGGGTTCATGCTGTAAGCCTTCTGAGAATTCAAATCTTTAAAAACAAATCTACAACACGGGAGCAAGGTTCAGATCTAACTCTCACCGTGCAGGGGGGCTGCATCCAGGGCTCCCCGTCAATCTGCATGGGCAGCCGGCGGGACGTCCTGTGAAGAGAGAGAGGAGGGACGAGCAAGAGAGGTGGGGGAGGGCAGAGAGAGAGAGAGAGAGAGGGGATAGGGTGGGGTTGGAGGTTGTGAAGGTCAGATCACACACACCTCGGAGGCACGAGAAGCCTGTTCACACCGTCAGGGGAAAGGGTCAAACACTGCACCCTTTGTTCCCATGAGACCCATTCCCAGACAGGCCCCCACTTTTTAAACTCACAGACCCACTGTACACACACACATACACATACACACACACACACACACACACACACACACACACATATACACACACACACACACACACACACTAAAAGTTGGTTTAAGACTTTCATGCATGCCTCTCTGCTTAGAGAAACACAGTATGGGAGAATGACCGTGATGAATGCTCTTTTAATTCGGGTCTTGGAAAATAGTCAGGAGAACAAGAGAGGGGACGGATTGTAAATGTCGCTTCTTCGCTTCGGTTTATGGATCGCTGTCGATGTTTAACAGGCTACAAGAACCGCAACGACATCTGTTCTGAGAGCACTTTGTTTGAACAGAAATGTGTTGGAACCTAAAAGTGGCCACAGCGCCACCAGGATGTTTGTGATGGAATTATATTAAATCTACAAACATCAAACATGCTCGTTGTATCGGATCCTTTTCATCACACCTCGTTCAGCTTTTAGCATTTTAAGTCGGCAAAAGACGTTTTTTAAATACCTCTAAACTCCACTTATTGTTTCTAATAGTTTGGAGTTAGTTATTTTTTCTAACGCTGCACAGCCCCGTCCAGATATTGGAGTTTGTTTACAGTATCTTTAGTAAAATACAGGTCTGACTGTGAAACCTTATTACAGCGTTTGTGCAGGTCACAGTTTTCTTATAAACAGCACAGTCTGTAACTCTCTAACAGACAGATTATTTCTCACTCTGTGATTGTGGGTCAGTCCTCGGCTCATTTAGTAAAACATGAAGTTGTATTTATTATTTATAAGCTACAAGCATCTTATTGTTTGGCTACAGCAGGGATTTTAACCTTCAGATGCAGAGACTCTCAAGGAATACATTTTTGATCACACATGTATAGAGTGGATAAAAAGCTTCCGGTTGGTTGACCAGGAGGAGGAGGGGGAGGGGGAGGAAGAGGAGGAGGAAGATGGAGAAAGAGGAGGATCAGGGGGAACAGGAAGAGGAGGAGGAGAGGAGGAAGATGGAGGAGGAGAGGAGGAGGAGGAGGAGGAAGAGGAGGAGGAGGAGGAGGGGGAGGAGGAGAGGAGGAGGAGGAAGAGGAGGAGGAGGAGGGGGAGGAGGAAGAGGAAGATGGAGAAAGAGGAGGATCAGGAGGAAGAAGAGGAGAAGAGGAGGAGGAGAGGAGGAAGAGGAAGATGGAGAAAGAGAAGGAGGAAGAGAGGAAGAGGAAGAGGAAGAGGAAGAGGAGGAGGAGGAGGAGCAGGAGGAGGAGGAGCGGAAGATGGAAAAAAGAGTAGGAGGAGTTGGTCAGGTACATGAGGAAGAAAAAGATGGAGGAGGCAGGAGGTTCTGACCTGATGGTGACGTTGGCACACTGAGCCAGTCTGCGTCCCGCACTCTTCAGTCCGGTGTAGATCTGACCCATTTCTATCGCACCTTCAAGGCCGACCACCTCCAGCAGCTGGTCACTGAGGTCTGCACGGAGAGGGCGACAGAGACAGAAGTTATGAGTCCAGTTACAGACACTTTGCTTAACCAATACTCATAGAGGCACCAGTACCTGGAGAGAACCCAGGCATGCACGGGGAGAACATGCAAACTCCACACAGAGAGGCTCCTGTCAGACGGGGATTCAAACCAGGAACCTCCTCGCTGTGAGGCAACACGACTAACCACTGCATCACTGTTCATCCCACACTATCAAGAACAACAAAGCACTTAAAGTGGGAATTTCATTGTGCGAGTGTCTGCAGTCGGCCCGAACAACATTTCTGACATGCCAGGAATTCATCTGGCATCGGGTTGAGATCAGTCCTCTGGTCTCCTGAACTCTGCACGGCCAACGACATGATGGAGCTGAAATTCAACCCGACTTCAAAATCAGTTTACGGGACTCAAGAATCGGGTCAGAAATTACCTCAAGTGTATGCCCAGCTGAAGACAGAAAAACTGCTTTTCTTAGATAACACATCTTATTTTGGTTAGAAACAGTGACTGAGAACAGCAGGCCCCACATCAACATAGATCCCAAATCGAGTCCAATCTCCACTTCTGCCAGGCATTCTCCTCAGCACACAGGTGAGTGTGCCCGGCACTGAGAGTTCATTAACTTTATTCAGGGAGGCTGGTGCCGCCTGAACACCTCAACATCTGCCAGTTCTCTGTCATGCGTTCAGAAAGCACTGGGCTTTCCCTCTAATAGCCTTTCTGTCTCCATGCAGAGATGAATCACAGACTTCTTAAAATGTCAAAGACAGACTCAGAGAGTGACTCCTCCATTAAATCTGCCGCTCTCCAAATTCTAAATGCTTTCTTTGTGATTACATGTTCCTCAAGTTAATGCCTGCCTGTCAAAAAAGGTCAAAAAAGGAGTACAAGTACCAAGAGTCTAGATGAATATAAAGGCACGATTTGATTTAATGGCTCTGGCAGAGTTTGCTTCACTGCAGCCGGAGAAAAGAAAGAGGTTTATGAGAGGCACCCAGCTAAACCAGTCCAACCATCACCCCCCCCCCCCCCCACCCCCGAGGGTCTGAATCCTCCATCAACCTGAGACAAGCTGTGACGGGCAGCGCTGCATGTTGTGACGGGAGCCAAAGGCTGCAGGTCTGTCTGTTACAGTGTCAGCAACGCTATTTCTTTCCAAACGCCGCCAGACCTCACTCACCCGGTCGGCTTTGTTTTAAACAGGAAAGTGTTCTGGCGTTTTTTTCTGCAAAAAGTCAGATTCATGATGTCACCTTGCATGTTTGGTCAACTAAAGAGAAAAATGAATGAATGAATGAAACCTTTGTAGTGGAATTTGCCTTGCACAGAGAGCAGAAAAAACACAATACAAACAAACATTTACAGGACAGCACATAATTAAATAATAATTCAATTACATATACATCGTGACATTAGAATGATGTCACATAGCAGGCCTCTTCGTTGCGTTCACATCTCCCGTGGGTCGTACTCAAGTACACATGATTTGTGCCCGAGACCCCATCTTCAAGCGGACTCAGGCACAGTACCCGAGGACGGTACAAGGTTTGTGTTCACACAGATCAAATAAACCGGTCTTTATTGTCAAGGGTTCTCCGGCCCGGGTCTCTAATGTGAAACCAGACATAATAAAACAGACAGCACCATCAAATGTCCGTCAGTTATGATGTAGATCTGGCTCATCTGCAGTTTGAATCTGTGGCATTTATAAATGTGCTGCCATTTTGAGCCGAGCTAGAAAGATGATGACGGTTTATATGTGAACAAGTTTGCTGCTGCTGCTGAGTCACCGGCACTCTTTAATATTTCAGCTGACAATTCAAAAGAAAATGTCAGAGCAGCGTAAGAAGCAAACATTTGAACATCACTCAAAGGCTGAGCGAGAGTTTGGTCGGCCCTCTGAAGACTTCAGCGCTCCTGGAAGATGCATTAGTAGCAAAGTGTTCGTGAGGACGGGAAACCAACTGCAACAACACGCTGTTCGTAACGTGAAAATGTGCGCAATGGTGTTAAAAAAAGGTGAAGGGAGGTTTTTTGAAAATGTTAAAATTATAGCTTGCTGATGCAACTGTTTCGTCTCCTCAGAGGTAGATTTCATCAAGTGGGAGTCTGCAGTTTGAAGCTTTGTTCGATTAAAGGTCTTTGATTTCTACAGCCTCCTCCTCTGGTGCATCATTAGTTTAAAACCAGTGACTCTCCCTGCAGAGGTGTTGGAGCATAGTTACAACACTATAGGAGACACTGGTGGCATTTCATTAGAGATTTACTCGTATTCAACCTTCTTCACACGGTCATCGGGCGACTCTAAATACTGGATTTGTCATCTGCAGGAGGTTTTTGATTCTGGGAGGACTCCAACAATCTGAGCTCAGCCATCAGACGCATTAAAAGAAGAATTCTTCCAAGAACTGAAATAACTCAGATTCCAGAAAAGCTTCAACATTTCTATCAAGTTCGACTCCAGACTTTAAACATAAACGGATTTTTCTGCCACATGAAGGCACATTACTGTATATACCCAAGCGGCAACCTCTGGCGTTGAAAAATGAAGCCGATGTTGAAGTGTAAAATCCTGCAGTTCCTTGAGTGTCCACCAGAGGCTGGCTGTAGAAGCACAGGAAGTCACATACATAACCATTCTAAAAAGCCTGTTTTTACAGCAGAGATTAACATGTTTACAGCCTGGTTCAAAAAAACAAATAGGTCTGAATAGCTCATGTCTCAATCGACACACACTGTACGGGGGGGTGAATGTTTTGATGACTCATCAGTTTTGATTTGATTTAATCACAATCAGGTGTGTAGCTGACCTGCAGGTGGGCTGCAGTCTGCTGTTAGGTGCTGGGTAGGTAGAGCGCCGGTCTATCAAAATGTGTTTGGTTAATGGTTTGGTTAAAGAGCTGGTGAGAGTGGAACAAAACTACAACAACAACAACAACAAGGGATCCCCTTCAGGACACATTTCACCACTTCTTAATACAAGTTATTTAGAGACAGGACAGTGGATAGAGTCGTAAATCAGGGACAGAGAGAGTGAGGAAGGACATGTGGGAAAGGAGCCACAGGTCGGATTCGAACCCGGGCCGTAAGCCTTGACGCAAAACTTGATGCAGAATGATCATGATTTAATTTGTGTCCCCACAAATGTCTCAATTTTTAGTTTTTAAATTCTAGGAAGCAACTGTAAATGCAGTTTTTTTTTTATTTGCAGCATAAATTCAGCCCATGTTCCAACTAAAACCTCAAATTCCATGAAAAAATACTCAATACGCACATAATCTCAGTGTCCTAAACGTCATAAAACCCCCTGATCATAAGCTGGTGATCCTGCGTAAACGCCGCCTCGTCCTCAGACTGCGGGCTCCTGCACAGACACATGTTCACCATATGCAGCTCTGTGTGCAGCTCTGCACAGCTTTCCAGGAAACCATTTAGAGAAAAAGTGGACAGTTGGAGAGTGGGGGATCAAGAGGGAGTAGAGACACAATAGATGAACATGACAGATGGGGATGAAAAAGCGGCGCTGAATGTAAAGATGGAGTCATTGTGTCACTGTGGAGCGAATGAGTCAGAGAGAACGTTTGTGATGACATGTCCTATTTTAGGATTGTTTAAAACAGCACTATTCATATATCCTTCTCCTAAATATAAATATATAAATCCCCTCCTTTCGCACACCCACCCGTACACCTCTACTTCCTCCAAACACCAAACATGGGCATGCCGTCCTGCCCGGGTCCCAGAGCGAGAGCCTGATGGCAGGGCAGCCCACTGCGCTGGTTCTCACCTCGCCGATGATTCCCGCCTCATCAGATCTCTGCGCTCTGACTCTCAGGCAACCGGCCCTGTTACTTCTCAGCGAGGTAGGGCTAAGAATAGAATAGAACAGCCTCTTACATAACGCAGCCACAGTGCATTCTGGGATGGGGTGGCATTGCTCTGCCAAGCAGCGGGCAGCGAGAAATGCTGTGCTGCACTATTTTCTCTTCAGTGCAGAAAATCTGAAGTCATTGAGTCATTGGTTTCAAACGTGGGCTTTATTTACTGCCTGGTTAGAATATTTGTAACAGCTCATAGTTAACTACATTTAAATATTTATAATTGTTTAATCCAGGGTGGTCATGACACCAGAACTTTGAACTTTGATATGACGTTTAAATACATTTCTGCTCGACTGAAAATGTGACAGGAGCTTCGGAGGAGGGTGAAACGTAGACACTGAGAAAGACTCCCTCACAGTGTCTGATGGAGGTCTGTCAGACCGAAGAGTTGTATGATCTAATAAACATGTCAGCATAAAGTGTGATGGCGTGCAGACGCCTTTCTGAGTGTCTTCAGACTTTGATATAAAAGAAATCAAAAGATATCGATTCGTGTTTCGATACAACAGAAACAAGCATCAAGTCTGAGAAACCAAATATTGAGAACTTTGTTGCTTTAAATTATCAAAAACTGCAAACTCCTGCACGCTGTCTAAATTTGGGGAGGCTGTGGGTCAGTGTTAGAGTCATGGCGACCGCCAAGACGAGACACGTCCTGTTACGACTCTAAAATGAAGGATTTCTCCGGCTTTGATAACTGTTGGAAATATTTGAGGTGATGTAAGAAGTCATAACAGGTTTTAATTTCAGTCTAAAAATATGGAACCTTTTTTTAAACACTGGATTTCTCTCGGTTACTTCCTCCTTTCTGTTTCTCTTCTGCAGCGCTCAGACTGTAAAGACGTCATTTCTTAAACTCTTAATGTAATACAGCCCCCCCCCACCCACAGCTTACATCTAAATATGTCAAATCAAAAAGCAGAGGGAGTATATGAGATCATCATGTTGTTTCATTATGGCGCCCACTTCATTTGCATTAACCAGCTGAGCGTGTGCTGACGTAAATGTGAACCTTTATTTTGAAACCAAAAGCCTGAATTCAAAATGTCAGTGTTTTAAAACAGGCTGAACAAACACGAGCCACAAGTCGTGTTGGTTAAGTGGCGA